CGCCGCGCCTCGCCGTCTGCGGTCCGCGAGCGCCCAGCCTCCCGGTGGCCAGCGGCCCAGGCCGCCGGCGCTTCCCGCAGGCGCTCATCGTGGGCGTGAAGAAGGGCGGCACGCGAGCGCTGCTTGAGTTCCTGAGGCTGCACCCCGACGTCCGCGCGGTCGGCTCCAAGTCCCACTTCTTCGACAGGTGCTACGAGCGCGGCCTCGCCTGGTACCGGTGAGCGTCCCGGCCCGTGCGCCGTCGGCTTCCGCGCGCCCCTGCCGGTGCCTTCCGGGGGGCGCGTCGTGCGCCTCGGGGTCTGCCCTGGGACGCAGCGCAGTGAGATCTCCCGGCGCCGGCGGGTGGGGGTGGGGGCTGAGACCAGTCTGCGGGGGCCCACGCTTGACTGCAAGGATGCGGCCCCTAGAGGACAGGCTGTACCTGGCCGGGGGGTCCCAGAAACTTTAAAAACTCCAGGGAAAGCCCGACTCAGGTCTGCAGAGGGACTCAGCAAGGTTGGGGAGCGGGTGCGACTCCGGTTGGGAAGTAGTTTCAAGCCCGTGGGATTATTTGGGAGCGTTAGAAATGCTTCGTGCTCAGCTGCCCCCCACCCCCACCCCGTCACTCTGGGCATGCACATCCGACCATCTGACCGGTGGCCTGTTACCCTGGGAAGGGGCTTCCAGTTTCCCTCCCCAAGACTCCTTGGCCCAAGGATCCCTTCTTGGTGATCCTGGGAGTCTGGAGAAAGACTAGGTTTTAAAAAAAGAAGGAAGCTGCCTTTGGGTGGGGGGGAATTGAAACTCCAGCTTCATGCATGGGGCTCTCTAGCTGCCCTGGCCTCCACCCAGGATGGACTTGGGGTGCGGCAGTGGAACCCAGCCCCAGCTGAAGCAGCATGTCAAACACCAGCCCCTCCTTGACGAGGCTGCCGCTGAAGGTTGAGCGAGAGGCCCTGGTCTCTGTCTCTGTGCGTAGGACGGTGTCCCTATCCCTTCCTGTGGGGAAATTACAGAGGGAGAGTGTACGTTCCTCCCCAAGCTCTGGCCTCACCCCCAAGCTGAGAGAACCCTGCTCGAGGTCACCTGGTGGATTGGTGGGGGTGGCAGGACTCAGACTCTTGACCCCTGCGGGGGCACTAATTTCTTTGTTCCCAGATCCTCTCCCGCCCCCCCCCCCCCATTTGCTAATTTTGTTTTTTGCATTAAAACCACCCCTGGGCTTGGAGGGGGGGGTGTGCGACGGCTCCTGAGCTGAAGGGCTGGTGCTGTACTGGGGTGCTAGGGAAGTCGGCTGGAGGTCAGGGGAAGGTGGCTGAGTGCTGGTGTCCTCCCAGCTCAGTCCCGCCCCCCCCCCCATTTGCTAACTTTGTCTTTTGCATTAAAACCACCCCTGGGCTTGGAGGGGGGGGTGTGCGACGGCTCCTGAGCTGAAGGGCTGGTGCTGTACTGGGGTGCTAGGGAAGTCGGCTGGAGGTCAGGGGAAGGTGGCTGAGTGCTGGTGTCCTCCCAGCTCAGGCTCCGGGGAGGGAACTCTGGTCCCTCCTCAGACGGTGCAGCAGGGTTCAGAAAGCATCTCCAATCCCCTGCTGTTGCTTGAAGGAGAGGGAGGAGGAGCAGGAGGAGGATGAAGGGGATGAGGGAGAAGGGGAGAAGGGGCTGAGGGTTGAGGACACACCGTTACTGGAGCACAAACTTCAGAGCCTGCCTCTGAGCCTACAAGCTTTGACAGGGTTCAGAGCCCAGGGTACAGGCCCAGACCAGGGGTCAGATCCTCTACCTTGGGGAAGGTCCCTTGGGGACACTGACATGCCCAGGATGGGAGCGTGGGGAGAAGAGAGTAACTCTGGTAGAGAAGAGACTTTTTACTTCCTCATTTTTAGAACCGGCCTCAATGGGGGGAGAGGAGGGAGCAGAGAGAGGATGCGGAGGGGTCAGGTCCCTCAGCCTCCACACTCTTAATCCGGCCTGTCCCTTGGGGCTGGCCTGTACTGACCTCTCTCTGGCTGATGTGGAGCCGGGCTCTGGATGTTGTGGGTCCTGGTGCCCTCAGGGGGCCCGTGGCAGTGTGCCGACACGTGCACACATGGGGCTGGAATGCTCACAGGTGCCTGTGCCACCAGTGCCTGCTTGTCCCTTCCCTCAGCTGCAAGTGTACAGTGAGCCTTTGTAATGCCCACCCTTGCCTCAGCTTCTCCAGATGCAAGGCAGCGGCGTCTGCTCTCAGAGCGCTGTTCTGGGCGCGGGTTGGGTGAGGTAAGCAGAGGAGGAGCAGCCAACACCTCCAGATGAGTCTCTGGGACACTGTTCCAACTGGGCTGTGACCTGGCTTTCCCGCGGGCTTGGCAGGTGGGTCCTGGGTTGACCTCAGCCACCCTTTCCCCTTTGCCAGGCTTTAGTTAGCTCATCTCTCAAGCTCTTGGATCTTCCGTTTTGGGCATTGTGGCCCCTGAGCACCTCCAAACTCAGACACATTTTCATCTGTTCCCTCACTCACTGAGCGCTTTCCGTCTGCCAGGTGCTGGGGTTACACAGAGACCCCCAGGTCTCGGTCTGAGAGGGGTGCCTGCCTGGGAGCAGGTGGGGGCTGTACTTTGACCACAGTATTTTCGAAAAGCAGGAGGAGGTGAGGAGGGATGTGGGTGGGAGGGAATGCCCTTAGTTCCTGAGGTGCCAGAGCAGTGATTGCAGGGAGTGGGGTGTGAGTATGTAGCGGGGAGGGACCCAGGCTTCTGTAGGACTTCCCCACCTCCACTTTAATTCCGGGGAGAGGCTCCCGTGGCTGGGGACGCAATCCCCTCCCTCCAACCCACAGCACTTTCTGTCATTGGGATCAGAACGATAAACGGTTTCCACTAGATCCCAGGCCTGGGGTCAGGCAAGGTGTGGGACACGGAGATTGGGTGTGGAGGTGGGGGAAGCTGAGACAGGGAGAGCCGCCCAGGGCCGGGTGGGAGCCGCAGGGAAATGCAGGCTAGATGAGGGGGGCTCTGCGGGGAGGGATCAGAGTCTTTCTCCTCACATCCTCCCCCCAGTCTCTCCCACTCCCCAAAAGCCCTCGTCTCCACCCTCCATACTCTGCTGGACCGGCTTCTGAGGCCCAGGGAGGGTAAGTAACTGATCCCAAATATCTCAGATCTGCTTTGTGGCGAGAGTGGGCCTCAGAAGTCCTTGTCCCTCCTCCGTGTTCCCACCGCCCTTCCCCAGCAGGGGGTCCAGGAGGCACCTCCCCTTGTGGAGCTCTCTCTGTCCCTCTGACTTCCTTGGAGAGAAAGCATGGGGGGCGGTGGCTAACGACTATGCAGGCCCTCCTCCAGCAGGACTGAAGGGGTGGGGGGTATTCAGACCCAGAAGTGTTCAGTCTGGCGCCGGCTCATGGCTCACTCGGGAGAATGTGGTGCTGATAACACCAAGGCCATGGGTTCGGATCCCATATAGGTATGGCTGGTTTGCTTACTGGCTGAGCGTGGTGCTGACAGCACCAAGCCAAGAGTTAAGATCCCCTTACTGGTCATCTTTATAAAAAAAAAAAAAAGAAGTGTACAGTCTGGGAAAGGAAAGAGGGAGGGCTCCTGGGCTCACTTGGTGCCTGGGGTCATGGTGTGTCCAAGGTGGGAGGGGAGGAGTCTGCTTGCTTCCCTGTAGAGGGGGGATGAAGGGCCTGGTCCCCTCCCCTCACCAGCACAGGCTTCTCTTCATGGGTCTCAGCAGCGAGGTCCAGTGGGGGGGGGGCTCCCCTTCTTATGACTTCCCTCTCCAGGAAAAAGGGGTCCCCTGAGCTGGCCATGCTGGGCTGCAGCCTGGGCCTCAGACCCTGGCGCTGCCACCCGAGGTCTGCATTTATCCCAGGCGGGCTGGATGCTGTTTCCTGGTGGATTCCCAGCTGCCTGAGGTAGAGGTGGGAGCAGGGTCTGGGAGAGAAGCCAAGCAAATGCCCCCTTCCAGATGGTTCGGAAGCTGGCCACGGCTGGGAGGGCTGAGGGCCCCTGCTCCCTGCTCTTGGCCCCCTCTGAGCCTCAGTGTACCTGCCTATCAAATGGGGCCATGGGTGGGGCCAGCTTGTTTTGTCATCAAGATGGAGAAAGCAGAATTGTCCCCCCACCATGACTTCTGAAGACCAGCTCTGCCCAGGGCCTTGTTTTGAGGGGTAGGAGTCCCAGTTCATGTCGTGCCATGTCGGGGGAGCCTGGCACTCCCAATCTCATTCACTCTTGCCTGATGCGGCTCATGCTCCCTCCTGTCCCACCACCAGCACCCTCCAGGCCAGGCACCCCAGTGCATGCGTCTGTGCACATGTGTCTGGCCTGGCCTGAGTTTCCTTGGGCGTCTGAGCAGAAAGAAGACTTGGGCCATGCCTCCCAGGGCTCTAGGCTGGGGGCCACTCAGCCTGGCTGAAACCTGAACTTTGCCCTGTGTGTCAACCTCTTGGCTGGGGCCAGTCCTGCGGGCTATCAGGGGGGTGGGTGGGGGGAAGCCCCCTCAGAGGACAGGAGCAGGGCTAGGCATGGTTGGGCAGAGACATCCCCTCCCTAGCACAGGTCCCCACAGCCTCTGCCTCTGTTGACCTAGTTCCTATCCTGGAGTTGTTTGCTCAGCTGTTGCACCCCGCCCCGCCCCACCTCACCCTGAACAACCTGGCTGGCAGGTGCCATCTTGGATACCACTCAAGTGCCTGGGCCTGTCCGGGTTGGGCACTGAGGATGGACTTCCCCAGATTTGGGGCAGTCAGGGGGCTGTGGTCAGCCAGCTGCCCTGGAACCTTGGGCTTTGGTCAGTGCCCTCCTCCCCTCCAGGGTCCAAATGAGGGGACTCTCAGAAATGCTGCGTGCTCGTCCTGGCACCCTGGGGTCCCTGTGAGGTCTGGGAGGCCCAGGTGGCCCAGGGTGTCAGGGCGGGTCCTCAAGCTGGGCACACCCACTTCGCAACTTTTTCAGGAGGTGCTGGGCTGTGCTGGTAGCTTTTTGGCATTCTGAATGTGGCCCAGGTCAGTGAGAATTAGCAGGGATGTAATTAAATTCAGGGGAAGGAGCAAGAGAAACAGGGTCACCCTTTGTTGGGGATACTGATCAATCATTGTTGGCCTAATTTAAGGGGCACAGTTAGTCCCTGAGGGAAAGTGTGGCCTCGAGTGGGTACTGCGGTGGCGAATCGAGGTGGGCTGGCCTCAGGGCACTTGGTCTGGTGTGAGAAGAGAGTGCCAGGGCTGGGGCACAGTCTAGCTCCTGGGTGTGGGCCCGGTGGGGATTGCCAGGACTCAAGGGAGCTGGCACTTGGGCTGAGGGATGGCACAGCCTGTGCAGGGATAATAAAGGGGGTGAAGAGCTTTCTGGTGCCTCCCAGTGACCATTGCCCTGTGATTCCTAGAGCAGCCTCATGCAGGGGCAGCCTGGCAAGAAGCCTTGCTGCAGCCCACAGCCCAGGTGCCACCAGGCACTTTAGGAGGCTTGCCCATCCTGGGGGCCTGGGTGTCCCTGGAGGAAGGGGGCTGTTAATCCTGGGTCCTGGGGAGCAGGTGTAGAGTAGGAGGGGCCGGGGGGCACTGCTCAGACCCCTCTTCTCCCACCCGGCCCGCAGGAGCCTGATGCCACGGACCCTGGACGGGCAGATCACCGTGGAGAAGACCCCCAGCTACTTTGTGACGCACGAGGCCCCTCGCCGCATCCACAGCATGTCCCCGGACATGAAGCTGAACGTAGTGGTACGGAACCCGGTGACCCGGGCCATCTCCGACTATGCCCAGATGCTCTCCAAGACGCCAGGCCTGCCCAGCTTCTGCGCGCTGGCCCTTGGCCGTGGCCCGGGCCTGGTGGACATGGCCTGGAGCGCCGTGCACATTGGCCTCTACGCCCAGCACCTGGACTGCTGGCTGCGCTACTTCCCCCGTCCCACTTCCTGTTTGTCAGTGGCGAGCGCCTAGTCAGCGACCCAGCCGGAGAGCTGGGCCACGTGCAAGACTTCCTGGGCCTCAAGCAGGTTGTCACCGACAAGCACTTCTACTTCAACGCCACCAAGGGGTTCCCCTGCCTCAAGAAGGCCCTGGGCAGCAGCCGCCCCCACTGCCTGGGCAGATCCAAGGGCCGGCCCCGCCCCCACGTGCCCCAGGCCGTGGTCCAGCACCTGCAGGACTTCTACCGGCCCTTCAACCGCAGGTTCTACCAGATGACTGGCCAGGACTTCGGCTGGGACTGAGCCAGGCCCTGTTGGCCCCACCTGGTGATGCTCGGTAACCTTAATTTATTTCTGCTCATCTGGCCAGAGTGGGTTGTCTACACATGCTGGGTAGAGAGAAATATTTAAGAAATAAAGTTTGGGGCCGGCCCGGTGGCGCACTGGATAGTGCGCTGCGTGGGAAGCGTGGCGGCGCTCCCGCCCGAGGGTTCGGATCCCACATACAGACCGGTTCCCGCTCACTGGCTGAGCAAGGCGCGGGAGCAACACCGAGGGTTGCAATCCCGTTGCCGGTCCCCGGTCCGGTACGGGGGCAACACTGAGGGTTGCAATCCGTTGCCGGACACGGAAAAAGAAAAAAAAAAAAAAAAAAAAGAAATAGTGTGGATCCATATTCTTCCACTCGACCTGGAGGTTGGAGGTGGAGGTGTCACCACCCAGGGAGGTGAGAACCATACCAACTAATTGCACTGGGCACTGACTGTGTGCCAGGTGGTGTCACCCCAAACCCACTCCTTTTATGTCCTCAGAGGTGGGTGCCTGACCACAGAGCACAGGTGAACATGTGAGGGTCAGAGAGGCTTAGCCCAGGTGACTCTGGGGGACGCCCTCTCTTCTCAGCCCTGGGAGGCTGAGCAGTGTTTGTCCCCACTTTGAGTGAGGAAACTGCAGCCCCAGGTTGCTCCATTGAGTGATGGGGCAGGATCAAAGTTGGGTCTGCCCAATTCTGTGTGCTGCACCCATGACCTCAGCTAATCCTGTGTCCTGGTGCCTAGGATGCTCCCTTCTAGAAGCCTCGTGGTGGAATTGCCTGGTAGTGTTAGGTGTCTTGGTGGGGGGGCCGAGGGTGATGTTTCTAAGAGCTTCCAGGCTGTTGCGGCGGAGCCCTGCCCACTTCAGGCCCCGCCCCACAGGCCCCGCCCACTCCCCCAGGCTCTCCCTCCCCCAGCTCTGCTGCTTTTATCCTGCGCCTTCCCAGGTGAGGGCTGGTTCCAATGTCCATGTGCAGCCCAGCTGCCTGCTCCTGAGTCGGACAGACTCAGACAGGATGCGGTGCCCTGTCTGCCTCTCTCCCCCGGAGAGGGCCCCTCAGTAATGACCACGTGCAGTCTGCTAGGTGCCCACCAGCTGCCCTGAGGATGGCCCTCTGGGGCTGCTTAGGCCTGGGGCTATCACAGGGCCTGGCTGTGGTCTCTGCACTCCATGCTACTCCTTGGGTCTCATGGCCTGTCCTTGGCCCTGATGTGGCCTTTCTACCCCTGAGCTACTTGGAGCCACTCCCTGTTCTGGGACCTGGGGACACAGAGGGAGGATTTTCAGGGGAGGGGCAGCCTGTCAGCCTCCATCCCCTCTCTGGGTGACCATCAAGTTCTGTGAATCAATGGACCCAACAGTCACCTTGGCCACCGTCTTTGTCACAGGATCCCATCAGTGGTGTGGATATGGGGTCAGCTGACATCCGTATGCTGAGAAGAGGCTCAATGGGAGAGAGATGGGCGCCGCCCTAGGCCTGCTTCCTGCCCCTGCTTGTTTCTGGGCCCAGAGGACACTCCATTTGGAGCTTCACCAAGGGGCCGGCCAGAGGCAGGGCTGGGGGCTGGTTCCCAGCTCCCCTTTCAGCACCCACTAAGTGACTGCAGTGACAATGTGATGGGCAGATATAGGCACGGCCTCCTTCACAGCTCAGACCTCAGACGTGGGTGGAGGGAAAGGGCTGGCGCCACTTACAGGGAATGCATGAGGAGGTGTCAGACCACTTTGGAACCCCTGCTGGGTGGCAGGCACTGGGCTTGGTGGCTCTGTCCTGGTCTTGCATCCCCTGTGTCCCTGTAAGGATTTGGCACAGCATCCTGACCTGGTTGGTGGGGGCAGGAGTGAGGCAGGACAGCTCCTGGCCCCTGGCTTAGTTACCAGCCCCATCCACACAAGTTTCTTCTCCTCCCTGTATATACCCTTCTGGTGCCTGGACAGTTTCAGGGGCCCCTCACTGTCACCCTGACACCACTCGTTCTCATATAGTGAGCTCGCTGAATGGCAGCCATAGGGGTGTCCTCAGAGTAAAGCAGATCCCATTATTTTAAAACGCTCCAATCCCCACCCCCACTGCCTATTTCTTCTAGGATGAAGGCCATATACCTGACTGCAGCAGTGAAGGCCCTCTAAGGCTTGCCCCCCATCCTGCATCCTCCCCTCACCCCCACACTCCTGCTGCACCTGCCCCTGCCAGCACCTTCCACCTGCTGTGCCCTTGCTAACCTTACAGACTTTGCACATGCTGCCTGGAATGCCTTTCCCTGCAGAAGGTGCTGACTGAGACAGAGGCAGCCTTTGAGTCAGGCAGCCGTGCTCTCAACTTGTTTGGAGTCCCTATATTTGGAGTTCCTTTTCTGAGCCCACCGCAGATACTCACTTTTTCCTTCCTGAAGCTGCCTGGGACGCAGAGCTACGGAGGGCACTGGTTTGCCTGGCTTTGGAGCCTGGGCTCAGGGCTTGTAGGGCAGACTCTGGAAGCAGCAAGGAGAATGGCGGGCTGCAGTGTTCTGCTCTACCCCCGAGTGGAAACTCGGCCTAACTGCCAATGCCCTGCGTGAGGTGCCCAGCTGTGCCTCAGAACATGCCGAGGGCAGATGTGGTGGGTCCTACGGACTGCATCTGGGGGTGGGGCTCCTTGGGAGCGTCATTGGCCTTTAATTAAAGTCCCTAAATTGCTTCCCCAGCTGCCCTGTGGGTTTTCCATGTGGGAATGTTCCAAATGGGGCGAGAAGTGCTTGTTTAGTTACCCTCTTCTGGTTCTGCCTAGTGGAGGAGAAGGGGTCCAGCTGGACTGGGATAAGGTGGCTAAGGGTGGGGGTCCTCACAGCCCTGGGAGTCCTGGAAGGGGCTTGGAGAAGCTGTGGAAGAGGGTCCTCACCCAGCCTCAGACCTTCTGGCCACAGATGGTCTGGCCTGGGGAACCATGGGGCCTTCCTCCTGCTGGTTCCGGCAGGAGGTCTGCGTGAGGGCCACGCTCTCTACTCTGGGCCTTGTCCCCGGCAGGCTCTGGAAACTCTGAGCAGACCCTGGCCCCTGTGGCCACTGTATCAAGCTGGAGATGGGAAGGGATTGGCACCTGGATCCACCCTCCCCACTGGCCTGAAAGTACTTTCCTCTTGTAAGGCCTTGTCCTAGGTGAGGAGAGGAGCCCTGGAAAGTGTCAGCAGCTTGCCTCCCTCTCCTTATCTACCCCATCACCATGCCATCCATTCCTGAGGGGTGCTTGCTCTGTGATCCCCCATTCACAGGGAAGGTACCACCAGCCACAAGGATGAGGTCAGGCAGGATCTGGGGGTCCTCAGAGCACAGCTGGGGGTGTCCCTGCTGAGCCTGCCCTCCTCCAGGGAGACAGGCCTGAGGCTGGAGGGCCAGGGAAGGTGGCCTCTGGCTCTCCCCCTCGCAGGCTCCTAAGGGTGTCTGTGCAGGGTGGGGCAGGTGAGGGAGGGGGAAGTTGGGGCCCCAGGGTAAAGCCTGGATCATGGGGGTACTGCTCTGGGCAGCCCCTGTGAGTCCCCTTTTGCTTTGGGAAAAGGCCTGATCCTCCTGGTCCATGTCTCCACGTGGCCCAGAGTGAACAGGTCTGGGACCTGTTGTCTTTACAGATCCAGAGGCCCCTTCAACCTTTAGATGGGCCCATTCCTGGGCTCCAGGAGGGGCCAGGCCACGGGTTAGAGAAGTCTCGGGGACTTTATTTTATTTTATTTTATTTTTTTAAAAGATGACTGGTGAGGGGATCTTAACCCTTGACTTGGCGTTGTCAGCACCATGCTCTCCTAAGTGAGCTAACCAGCCATCCCTATATGGGATCTGAACCCGTGGCCTTGGTGTTATCAGCATCACACTCTCCCAAGTGAGCCATGGGCCAGACCTTCGGGTGAGGGGATCTTAACCCTTGACTTGGCGTTGTCAGCACCATGCTCTCCTAAGTGAGCTAACCAGCCATCCCTATATGGGATCTGAACCCGTGGCCTTGGTGTTATCAGCATCACACTCTCCCAAGTGAGCCATGGGCCAGACCTTCGGGGACTTTAAATGAGTGGAATCCCTTTGGAGCCCCCGCCCCACCCCTTTCCTGGCCTCCAGGCCTGAGTGCCCCCACCGTGTCCCAGCCTGCCCTGGGCTTCTTCCCATTCAGAAGCTACGGGGCTGTGGTTTCCCAGTGGGTCCCTTTGCATTCCTTGGCCGTGGCCCAGGACAACCTGGAATGTTGTACAGGCCCTTGATGTTTTTGTCTGGGCAGCCGTGGCAGCCTGCTGGGACACTGGGTTCCTCTGTTTCTCTGTTCCTGTGGAAGCTGTGCAGTGAGGGGCAGGGAATTTGCTGATGTCACGAACCTGATGGTTCATTTCTGTGGGACTCTCCCTTTCCAGAAGATCCCTCTCAAATTGGCAAGGACTAATTCCTGAGGATTCTGTCCTTGGGACCTAAGCCCAGGCCAGAGTGTCAGGGGTGTGGGTGAGGCAGGGGTGGCCTCAGATTCCCAATGAATCTGCTTCATCCCCCCTTTCCCACTCTCCTGGAACCATCAGTGCCCTGGGCAGGGCTGGTGCTGGGGGCCTCCCTGCAGAAAGCCCCTCACTCCTTTGGCTTGGAGTCCTCCGTCCTTCTGTGCTCTTCCCTTGGGCTCTCTGGTTCTGAACTTATATTCCTCTGTTGCCTGCACATCGGCCATTCTCTCCTGGCCAGTTCCTGACCCCACTCCGCCTTGCCCGTCCATGCTCCAGGGTCAAGGGTCAGGGTTCTGAGAGTCAGGGTGGAGCCCTGCTGGACCGTCTGGAGAACTGGGAGGTGGTCCAGGGGACAAGGGCTGAAAGAGCAAGTTCATTCATTCTTTCAGCCAACATGGACCGCGGGGCCTGGACGTGTGGTTTTAAGGCAGACAGGCTAGACTTGGTCCCCGCCTGTGTGGAGTCTCAGTGTAGGGGGGAAGACAGAGCAAACCACTAGGCACCTGCGAGAGTGAAGCAGGAATTACAGAGCGTGACGGGCACCAGGAAGCGTTGCAAGCGGCTGAGACAGGGAGCAAGAGGAGAGAGAGCTGACCTGGGAGAGCCCCTCGGAGAGAAGACCGTTCACCTACACCCTGAAGCAGGACCAGCCTGTCAGGGCACGGGGACAGCAGGTGCCTTG